CAGGAGTGAGGGCTGTGAACAGAGAACAGGAGTGAGGGCTGTGAACAGAACAGGAGTGAGGGCTGTGAACAGAGCAGACCAGGGGCCGGGCTCATGGAGAGAACATAAAGAAGATAAGGATGAAAAGGCCCACATCGGTCCCTGGTGCTTTGACAAACTGCTAGTGTTACTGTGGAGAGTTCCTGCTTGTCTTGTCTGGCAGCAGCTGATAAAATGAATCACGTCACTGTGGAGGTCAAAGGTCAGGCTCCAGGAATCACTAGAGAAGAAAGAAAAGAAAAAGAAAACGAACCAGCAGCAGGAACACTGGACTGAGAACTGATCAATAAGTGATCAATAACTGAGGACATTGATCTGGTGACTCTTCAGTGTGTGGCTCCTTCAGTCCTGCTGGTGTGTACGTTCACCGATGCCTTTCCCACTGTGATCTGTCAGAGAGGATTCTGGGCCGTGGGCCTGTTGGAACTCATTAGAACATGTCAGTGAGTCGACAGAATTAAAGTCAAATATTTAGACCGACAATTCAAGAAACCTGCACCTGGGAAAAAACACAAACATCCAGGAGAGCAGAGGCTCAACTTTCACCCCCTGTGGCTGTTACTGCTGCTGTTACTGCTGTTACTGCTACTGCTGTTACTGCTGCTGCTACTGTTACTGCTGCTGTTACTGCTGCTGCTGTTACTGCTGCTGTTACTGCTGTTACTGCTACTGCTGTTACTGCTGCTGTTACTGCTACTGTTACTGCTGTTACTGCTGCTGTTACTGCTGTTACTGCTGCTGTTACTGCTACTGTTACTGCTGTTACTGCTGCTGTTACTGCTACTGTTACTGCTGCTGTTACTGTTACTGTTACTGCTGCTGTTATACAGCACATCCTGCAACTGGACGTCCACAGTCTGGTGAACTATGTTCTTCCTGGTCTGAAGCACCAGCAGCAGTGACTTAGTGTTGATCAGAACCACAGCCAGGACACTGGTCCAGGACACTGGTCCAGGACACTGGTCCAGGACACTGGTCCAGGACACTGGTCCAGGACACTGGTCCAGGACACTGGTCCAGGACACCAGTGTTTCCTGACCTTCACCTCCATCAGTTGTTGTTAGCAGCTGAGCTCCGTCTGTTCTCAGGTCACGTCATCATCGTCATCATCATCATCATCATCGTCTTGTTGTGTAAATAACAGGGGGGGGGGGGCAGGAGACCATCAGCATCGACTACAGTTCATGTGTAGAAAGTCTCATTGGCGCC